ATATATATATATATATATATATATATATAAAACTAATATCCAATTTACATACATAATATATATTTACCTATGATATATCATCCAGTATATACAGTAGGCTATCATACAATACAGTACAGTATATACAGTATTTATTTTTCCCCCTGTTCTATGATAAGCAAGACTGAACATTTATGTAGGTGTCATATTTCACAGTCCTGAAATGTGTTGACTTATAATTAATAATTGATTTTTGCTCCATATTCCAGAGGAGCCAGGCAACTGCTGAAATAACGTGATTGGCGCTTTAACACGCTGCCAACAACAGCGCCTCCCCAAGCGTTACTACAATCCGGCTTCGCTGTACTCTCCGCGCACCTGGAGATCCGCGTAACGACGCGCAGCATCTGCTGACGTCCGGAAATTGCGCGCGGTTCGAGCATTCTTGAAGGTGCGTTTTGCTCAGCATCACCGCCGCGAGATCCAGAGAGGCAGACAGCCTCCCGGAAGATAAAAAGCTCAGGCTGCGCGATGCACGAGACGGGGAACGTTACGATCGACACGCATCGTGGGAGCGTAATATTGTGGAATCAGGTCGTTGTGTAGCCTAAACTTCACGCACAAACTGCTTGGGATGACAGACAGGGGTGCCATTGCTCTCCGGTGTCAAGTGGACTGTTTTTACACCATCCTTCTAAATAAGGAAGCAGGGCTGTCAGACATATGACCACCGTCCCGATTTGGGCGCTGCCAGAGTGCTCATCGCATCCCATGATCTCGCGCAAGCCGTCCAATAAGGCTCAGCATGCGACCCCCATTGCACACGTGGAGTGACAGCAGCGTCCCATCATCATCAGTCCGCCGCTCGCAACTTTCTCTCTCTCTCTCTCGCTCTCTCTCCTCCCCCATCCCCTGATATATGATGTCATGTAAGGACGAGGGTGGCTTCTGAGGTGAGATAGGGATTTTGGTGAGTGGCATTCTCCACGACCCGAGGCTTCGGAGCTGCAAAACATGGTCATCACCACCTTCTTCACCTCAAGTCGTGTCTCCGCGCTCTCTCCCCGTTCTTCCGCCGCTCTCATCTCGGGCCACCGTCGCATGCCCGAAGTCCTGACCTGCCTCGCTAAATTAAGCCTGCACCACCATGCCGAGGGAAGAAAAACTAGAAGAGGGGTATTTTTAGTGCCATTAATTTTGACCACGTGCCCCGAAGGTAAACCCGATGGCCACTGCGCAGAGGCTCCTCATCAGTATGTCCTGCGAGGCCAACGCGCAACACTGGCCAAGGACTGCCGTTCTGCTCTTGGGATTGCTCCTAGTTGGGATTGTGTCCTCCAGTCCGCTTCCGAGTAGGACTAATAGGACAACTTTACTGGAGAAGCGATGGGAGAGCCTCTTCTCCCGCTCCGTGCTGGGGATCTCTGGAGAGAGACCAGAGGCGAACTGGGAGAATGACTATTTGCTGGGCATCAAAAGAGTGCGGAGGCTGTACTGCAATATAGGCATCGGGTTTCATCTTCAGGTCCTCCCAGACGGCAAGATAAACGGTGTACATAATGAGAACCAGTACAGTGAGTTCACGGAATAATGCAGTACTTAATTGCGCAGAGCTCTTTATTCTTTAGAAGCGACACTCGTCTTTGGAGGCAAAGACAAATCTATTAAAACACACATACACACACACACACACACACACACACACATACACAGTATCCCTTAGTGCTAAATATCTGCGCAGGGCTAAAACACGACATGAATGCTGGGACGGATATAGATGCCAACTTATTTTTACACCGGCTCCTTGTGCGGCCCAGAAGCGCTTAGAACATGCACGACTCTTCAAGTGTGAGGGATGTTCGTCTTTCGGCAATAATGTTGTAGCCTAGTGGCGCTAGAGAGGTCGTTTGCGCATCCACAATTGGCACCTGCAGAGGTTCCACCCACCGCATGCCTTCTTGTTCTGAGTCCCGCGGAGTCGCTACTGTGTGTAACATGCTTGTTCTGTTTGAGCAGGTCTCATAGAGATCTCCACTGTGGCCAGAGGAGTGGTTAGCCTGTACGGTGTGAAAAGCAAGCTGTTTGTCGCAATGAATAACAGAGGAAGGCTGTACGGAACGGTAGGTGTGCGCAACCGTGTCGCCTTTATTTCTGCCTGCCAATGCAACTAGGCTTTGCATCCCCGAAAATCGAGTGCGTGATGACAGGTGATGCTTCCTTTGTGCGTTTTCAACTTATTCATGACCCATGCATTTCGCACGTAAGGGGGTCGAGCGACTAATATTAGTGTTTACGGCGTGTGCTGCATTCATTCATGCCTTATAAATATAATGTGTTGAACCAGGACGTTTGCCACAGCTGCACGGCTTTTGCAAATTATTCTTAAACGGTGCATTAGATCCAGGCACAGCGCCAAAGCGCCTCGCAAGCACGAGTAAAAGGTTTATAATAATTGCCTGCATTAAGCTTATAAACTAACGCCTCATTCTTTTATATTAGCTGGTAGATAGTTGTAGGTCATTAGGTATCGCACATGCAGTGCTTAGTTGCAGTTCTCATCTTGCTTTACACTTTATCTTATATACTGTGTTATATTGGGGGGAATCCCGTTAAATTGGGAGATGACTGCGAAAAATGTCACAAATTAACCTGAATGTGTAATAAAATGTGTGCATAAATTGAAATATTTTGTAGAGCAGCTTGTATTTACACATTGATTTAAACAGTTAATAGCTGTAGTAGTGATTATGTAGTTTGTTATTTACATGTAATGTGTTTAATGTAAAGTGTGTCTGCAGGTTTGAAGGGTAAATGATGCACTTGGCTGAAGTTTGGCATAGGTGTGACAGGCGCAGTGCAACACTGGTCCTTAGGGGCCCATGAGCGCATGACAGCTCTATCCAAAAACTGCAGAGCGTTACTAGAGCATCCTCTGGATGAGCGGAGATAAAACGGACGCCACAGGCTGGTCTTGCAGTCATCATTAAAGTGTTTTTTTAATTAAAAGGCCTGTTTAGCTCAGGGATTATCAGGTTAATGCTTCAGGTTAATGGGTTTCTTGTGGAACCAGGCTCAGCTGAAAGTTTCTTTGCAAATATGTTCAGTATGTTGTCTGTTATGGGAAATCAGGCTGTGGTCTGTTCAAAAGGTTAGATGTATTTGCATTCAGAGTCATGTGCAAAACAGTGCTGTTGTTTATGAGTTGCTTACTGCTTCACAGAAGCCTCATTTATTTGCTCAGATGTTTGACTCATTGAAATAGGAAAGCACTAATAGTCATGAATGCAAAATTATTGTGCATTGCAGGGTTATTATCTCACTAAAACTCTATTACCTAACTAACTCTATTATCTAACTCAAATTAAAACCACACACACACATATTTGTTACTTTAAATAAAATAAACTTTTTATTTCAGCAGTTGTCAAAGCAAAATTTCTCATTTTCTTTTAGTTTAACTTAATGTACTAAAATAACTAAAACTGAAATTATATGTAATATAGGTATAATTAAAACTATATAGGCATATTAAAAAAATCTAGAACTTGTAAAAATGACAGAAGCACAAAACAAAATTACTAAAACTTTAACCAAATTTAACATGAAATAGAAAATACAAAAATAAAAACTAATTCAATATATATAAAACACTATAGTAGTATCTCAATGATACTAAAATAACACAAATTTTCCAGTTGTCATTTAACTGAACTTGATGTATTAAAACAATTAAAACTTATATACAGGTGCATCTCAATAAATTAGAATGTCGTGGAAAAGTTCATTGAAAAACTATATAGACATATTAAAAAAACAATAACTAACATGATAAAAACACACAACAAAATCACTTAAACTTTAACCAATTTTAAAACAAAAAACAAACTAATTATATATATATATAAACTAAAATAGTTTCTCAATGATATTAAAACCTCACAAAATTTCTCATTTTCATTTAGTTTACCTTGACATACTAAAATAACTCAAACTTAAAATGAATTAAAAAAAACTATATAGACGTATAAAAAAAAAAAAACGAATAAAAATGACAAAAACACCCAACAAAATGACTACATAAATTAATAAATAACTAAAATTGAAATGATAAAAACTATTATGAAGAATTAGTATCACAGTGATACTAAAATAACACTGGTGCCTCTGACTGAATGCTGGCATTCACATTCCTTCTCTTCTCCGTCTTTCAGGCTACCTTTAAAGACGAATGCAAGTTCAAGGAGACCCTGCTGCCAAATAACTACAATGCCTACGAGTCCTCCGTTTACAAGGGATTCTATGTCGCTCTCAACAAACACGGCCGAGTGAAGCGAGGCAACAAGGCCACCACCGCCATGACGGTCACCCACTTCCTCCCTCGAATATGAGCAGACTCTTGCAATAATTCTTCATTTGCACTGATCTCCCCGAGAGATCTGAAAACTGACACACAAACATACAAGGAACTGCAAGAATATCACCAAAATAGTACTTCCTTTTTTATATGTATATTTGGATAGGTCAGCTTTTTATTAGGATCTCTGAATATGCTATCCGTCGCTGCTTACTTCTTTTATTTATATATATTATTGGTTATGGATGTGGAGGCTCTCCCAGCCTTCCTTTCTGTAATCAGGTGCTTGCCAAGAATCAAACAGACTCTAGGATGGATGATGGAAGTCCTCCTCAGCTTTTTATAGTGAAATTATGTTTTTTATTACCTCAAAGAGCTACCTAGATGGTTTAGAAGGATGCATGAAGTTACGCTTGTTATTTTTAGTTCTGTCTGAGCCGATACAAGCATAACGAGTCTTTATTTTTTTTATTTTACTTTCTGTTTTTCTCATGCTGTGGGGTTGTGTGAGCACTTAAAAGAAAGCAGATCTCTCTTGCTGCATGTCGCACTGAGGTGCCTTGGCATTCCCGCACACCGCCCCTTTAACATGCATGCTCTGAACGCCCCGGGGTGTCAGAAATAGGGCTGATATGTTAGCCAGGGCCCCGCGGGGACTGTCCCACAAGGGCCCCAGAGAGGGGCGAGGGGGATGGGTGTGCATCTCTGCTTTATTTTACGTTTCTCTAATTAGAGAACGCCGTATGAGACGCGAGAGCGGCTCGTAAACACTGATCATATCTGGCCTTCGGCATCATCTGCTGTCGACTCAGAAATGAGGTGTAACTTTAGCCCCTTTCACTGGTAATCCCAGTAAATTGCCATAAAAATGACCAGAATGACTTTTCCAGTACGCAATGGCTTTGTACTGCTAAGAGACCATTCATGCATCAGTACCAAAATACCGGTAAACTCTGTGATGTGAGTTATTGGAAAGGATGCAGTACTTTTTCTTCATTAGCTCATATGCGTTTTGAATTTGATAACATTTTTTGTCTTCTGAGTGACAGGAGTAAGGGGATGATTATGGAAACCCGTTTCCTCCACCAAATATAAAAATAAAATGGGAAAATTGCAACTTTTTATTGCACAATTTTGACTTTTTTTCTTGCAATTGCAAATTTACAGTTAGTGAACATTACGCAATTCTGAGAAGAAAAGTCCAAATTGTGAGGTATAAACTCGCAATTGCGAGGAAAAAAGCCAGCATTGTGAGATAAGTTGAAATTACTTTTTTTTTTTTTTATTCTATGGCAGAAACAAAAAAGACAGAATTCCGGAAAAAAATTGATGTTTTGATCTTAAAAACACAAAACGCCACACAATAGTATCCAAAACACTGCTAGAACTTATTTACCGGTATTTAAAAAAAAAGTCCTGTTGACACATGATCTCTAAACTAATTTACCAGTAATTTACCAGTATAGAAAGTATGCGTGAAAGGGGCTATTATTTTTTCTAGCCGAACCCCTATTGGAGCTTTGAGGCTGTACATTTTATTTGTGGACTAGACTGTTTTTGCAATCAGAATTATACTTTTTATAAAGAAAATGGGGGAAAAAAACTAAAAAGTGAGAAATCTACAGGGGAACTGATGCAAGCGCACACTGAAAATGTTAAACATGGCCGATCCGATTATACTATTGCTTACCACAGGTTTGCCTGAACAAAAGGAGCACTTGAAAATAAGCTTTAAGCGTTGCTGTGAATGAGAACGTCTTCTAAACCAATGAAAATACTGTAAATACTGACTCTGCACTGAAAACGCCAGTAGCCTGGAGCTTTGTCGCTTGTTGCTAAAGGCACACTGCCATCCATGATGGTATCTGATTCAAGGGAATATGTGCAGTATATGTTTATTTATTTTTGCTTCTGGTGTGAGTATATGTGTGTGCACCTGTCCATGTGGATGCTTGCGTGTGTGTGTGAATCCTGGTCGATGGGGCAGTCGAGTCTGGCTCTTTCCTGTTGCTGCAGAGGCACTGCAGTGGCACTCGTGACTGCTGCCCTATGCAAATGTAATTACAGGTCAGACACCGTGTGGCATCCAAAATGAGGGACGCTCACTGTTTTATATGATTTTGGTATGTCTGCTTTTGTTTACATCAGTTTCTGTCACCAAATGTCACCCCACCCTGTTTATTTAACCCTTGTGCTGTTCTGAAAACCTTTACCTAATTTGGTGTTTCTGGTCAAAAACGACTGGCCTTTTGAAAATTGCTTGTAAATCTCTTGTTAATACTATATGGTCACCAAAGCTTGGATTTAATCTTTTTGTCAACTTGTTTTCTTTCAATTAGCACAGGTTTTTATTTATTTCTGGACTGGTTGTAGGCCTCATTGATCTGAGCTTATAGACCTTGGTTTTTGAGTGAAAAGACAATATTTGTGGATCATTTTGGCATTGGTCACTCAAAAACTGAGGTGCATGAACTCTGATCAATGACACCCTTGATCAATCAGTTCCAAAAACAAAAACAAAACTCATGTTAATTCAAAGAAAACAGGTTGATAAAAAAATGTATTCCAGTATTTGGCAATAAAATAGCATAATGAGAAACTTGTTAGCAATTGTTTTGTAGGTTGTTCATTTTAGAGGTGGAGCAAGGTGGAAAAACCTCCAAAAAAAGTACAAAAATTATTGTTGCTATACCCTTTGTGAGCAACTTCGGTAAGTTTTAGTCCAATGCGATAACATTAACTAGCAGTTTTGAGAAATAGAAAATCTCTCCGGGTCACAGCATGAGGGTTAAAGGGAAAGGAATCGAAAGGAATGACGTTATTTTAGAAAGACTTATGGCCTGGTTGTTTGTTCAGTCTGTTTGAAGTATGTGGAGCAGAGGCCATGCTGGTGACGTCTCCCTCGCAACATGGCTAGTCTTGTAAAAGCCACTGTGCACAGAAGCCTTGAGATTCCAGTAGTGGCACTAGGGTTCTTTATGGTTTTCCATCCAACTTTAGTCCAAGGTCGTAGCCATGGTTGAAAACGTCCGTCCAAGGTTTCGTTGTGGTCTCATTATCATGTGTTTGGATCCATGCTGCATTCAGTTAAGGTTGTTCTTAACTGAATTTACCATTGCTCTGTTCAATTGCTCTGTGAATTCAATGCAGTCGATTCCCTACACAGATTTGGTTATGCGAATTTGCGCTGAACAACAGAAAGTTGCTTGGTTTTAAAGTGATTTCTGTGTGAGCTGTGCTTCATTCATCTCTAAACGAAATGGATCTTTTTTCCCTAAATTTTGCCTACAGTTTAGTCAGCATGAAACCAAAATGATCCTATTTGCTTTCTTCGCGTCGGTTCCTGGTCTTATTGAGATTTATTGATCCACATTATTCCAAAGAAAAAATGTTTGCCTCTGTAATATTTTAGCAAAATTGTAAACGGCCACTGTTCAAGATTTAAATCATTTCTGATGGCTAAAATCGCATTAGAGAAGTAAATTGGTTACTGTTTCATGTTAACTTTAAGAATCTGAGGCCAGACTTTTCAGGTCACCATGAATCCAAACAAATTCAACTTGATCTCATGAGAAAACTCTCTGTTTTTACACGGTGGCGATTTCATATTAATGTGATTTGTAACATTTTTAGAAAATAGTAAGCATGACGTTTCACTCCTAAACCTAACCCACAGGTCGTACAAAAATGTACCAATATGAATTAGCCACCAATTCGCCAAAGTAAAACAGTTTGAATTGCAGTGAGAGTTGTGTTGGGCGAATCCAGTAGTGCTATGACCCTACTGGGTTATTCTCACTTGTTTGCTACTATATGAAAAGGAAGGTTTTTGTGGGACTGGCTTCTTCCTCTAGCGCAGTGAATATATCAGGACAGACCTCTGCAGGACTGACGCAATACTTTAGGGAGGCAAAAAAAGCTGATCATTTCAAGCTGCTTGTTTTGTGGTCTCATCTGTGAAGAGATGTTTCAGTCATTACTTGTACATTAGCACGTTTCTTGTCAATAATGTGCCACTGAGGACTGTATTTAGCTGATGTGCCTCAGAATTCATATCACTGTGAGTCCCAGTGAGACTTGCACACTTATGAAAAACAATAAAACACATTTATAGGCCAGAAATGTTGCTATTTAACAGCCATCTACGGTCACAACTTTTACCATCATCTAACATGTTGGCTTTGGTTTCACAGAAAAGTTCAACTTCATTAAAACTTATTATAAATAAAGCAACTCAAGAGTAATGGTTTTGGCAGACTGGTACTAAAATGCCGCAAATCAACTTATATAAATGTACTATTTTAATACAGTATGTCTTCTGAATGTGTTATAATGATGCATTAGGAATTGAAGAGTTAAATCAGGGAGCCAAATGTTGCTGTTTCTTTCATTTGTGTCCTGATTGTGACAATACCATCTTAAGTCTGTGAAGAATGAACAATATGCATGCAACATTTGGTAATCGGAGCCATCTGATATGTTGATGTATGTCGCTTGGATTTATAGCAACAGCTGTAAAAATGTTTATTGGGCATAGAATATAGACACCAGTTTCCTGGTACACTCTGGACTTATGAGAAAAATGTATGTGCATGAATGACTGCAAGCTGTCACCGGCTGAATCCTCCTCACATATGCAGGGAGGAGTTCTGGAATCTTTGGAGCACCAGAGGCATTAGATCGGGATGCCAGTTCATTGCTTTGCACTCTTTGTTTTGAAATGGCTTTGTGTGGCTGATCCTGTTACAAAAAGTTATCTGTTTAAAAGTGTGTTTCTGTCCGCTCCTCTTTATAAAGTCATCTCTCACCCCTGCCTTAGTTATAATTTCTTGCAATTATTTTTTGAAAGTAGGAAACTGAGGACATAATCATGTGTTTCTGAGTACAAGCACTGATGCTATGTATAAATACAGATATATTTGAGAAAAATATTTTTCCCCCTTTACTTTCTACGTATGTGCTGTGCACAGCAGTTTAATCATATTCCTGATGTTATAAAACTATTTTCTTTTTTTCTTTTATTTAATTTTGCGTGTGTTTTTGTTTCACATTTTAATTATGCTCAAAGTAGCAAGTACAGTGAGCAGTCATGCACAGTGTGCCCAGAACTGATTCTTTTCTAGAAATAACGCTGTCAGGATGTCACACTCATACAGGATCATTTATACAACATGACAGCAGTTCAATCAACTTCTTTCCTGGTTATTTGATGTTTTGTTTCTGATTCATATGCAAAACTTGACAGTTAAAATGCATCCATTGGATCCAGTTTCTCTGTAAATGTTTTTTTTTTCATAATGTTAAACATTATGAAATGTTTACATTTTTGAGAGATAATCATTACTTCTCCAAGCCCAAATTATGGTTAATACTTTACAAATTGCTTTCAAAATACAAATTTACAAATTGTTTCCATTTTGAAATTCTAAAATATAAATAGAAAAGTCAAGTATTCAAAAATAAATAATATCATACAAATATACAATATATTTACAGTCATTAGTTTATGTATGTATGTTGCTATATCATGTTATTATATATTATTGTTGTATATTAATATGTTTTTTTTTTCATGTTTATTTATTTATGTATTTATTTTTTAATTTGAACAATTTCAACGTTATTGCGCACAGCTTTGCTCATGTTCAGCTTTTTGGTGCGTTACTTGTTCGTGAATGAGGCACAGGTTCCCTCTGCTGGCCAACTTGAGGAAGTTCAGACTGGGGTCATACTAACTACAGTATATATATATATCCGTTCAGTACACTAATCATGCAGTCACCTAATACAGGTACAAAACTAAAAAGGTACAAAACTGTCACTCGGGGGTATAATATGGACTTTTAAAGTACTAATATGTGACATTTTGGTGTAAATTAGGTCAAAAGATGTAGGCTACCTTTTACCTTTCGTATCTAAAGATACACCCCTCTGTACATGTTTTTATTGGTTAGACAATC